AGTTTAAAGCTACCCTAGAACACAAGATCCTGTCTCAAAATAAAATAAAAAGCAAACAAGAAAAAGCAAGAAGGGCTGTCTGAGAAAAGGGTGTCCACCAAAGGAGAATAGGGCAGTGGGGAGAGGGAATGAATTTAAGTAGAATAACACATATGTGGGGAAATGCCAGAATAAAACCCATTACTTTGGCTAAAACCTAAAAAATAAATTTAAAAAGAGATCCTGAGTTCTCTCATTTCCCCAACACCACCACCACAGGATGGCATAGCAAAATGGCTGAGTAAACCAGAATGTGGGCCCTCAGGAGACAATGACTCTGTCAGAGCTTTGATCTAGCACAATGTAGCTGTGAAAAACAAATTTCTGTTATTTATAAGCGACCCTATCTATGGTAGGATTTTTGTTGGTAGTGGTGGTGGTTTTTTGTTTGGTTTGTTTTTTTGTTTATAGATTATGAATTTTTTTTGGACAAATACATTCACATAGAAAGGGGAAAAGACACTGAAGAGGGGAGAAGAGACTTGGAAATTTTGTAGTTAGTTAGAATATAATAATGTCAATATACTGATGTCTTGATTGCAGTATAGTTTTGAAAAATATTATCATTGGGGAAACTGAATAAACGCATCTGAGATCTCTATTATTTCTCACAATTATGTCAACCTATAACTGCCTCAAAAATATATGAAGGAAATGAATATGGGAAGTGGTTGATGTTTTCATGATGAATTTTTCACACTATTTTACCTCATCTATGAACAAATATTTCTTTGATGAGGTATTCTATGTAAATTATTTGTTATATTCTTCAATAAGTTAGCTGTCTGTCTTCCACTTTAAGGATATGACAACTTTAAGGCAATATTAAATATTGATATCCAAAGACAGAGTTATAGTGAGCACATTATCCATTAAGATGACTCGAACATTAAACTGAACCCCAAACTCCTCATATCAAAATAATTCTAAGACTTTTCTACCATCATTGAGCACCTTTAAAAATTAACCCCTCCTCTTAGTCCTTGTTGCCAACATGAAAGAAAGCAATTCCAGGAAAATTAAGAATATAAACAGTAGTGGATGCTTATTATTCTCATACAAATAACCTTAGTTATAGTTTTATTGTTAAGATTTCATTATTACTGACATGTATTGATTGTTTACATGCTTAGTACATCATCCCAAGCATTTTTATTAGTCAGTCCTCTTGCCAACCCTGAAAAAATAGGTATTATCTAGACTTTACAAAGAAATTACAACTGAGAAATATTGTATTCTTTCCAAGTCAGAGAGCTAGTACAATGTGTTAAACTTTCTCCCATGAAAATCTAAGTCTACAAATAAGGATTCTAGCCATTCATTCTATTATTTCACTTAAAAATGCCAATCAATAACTATCATGACCTCCTCCCACACACAAGCACCACCAGTGAGTTTCTGACTAGGCTTGTGTCTGGGAATTCAGTGGAACTTTTCCACTGGCTGTATCAGTCATTATCCCTCTTCCAACTGAGATTATCCCCATGTCATTCTGCACTCTAGGACCAACTATTTATTTCAGTATTGCCTTTTAAGTACTAGCACTACAGCCAACTTAACCAATAATAGGACTACTGTAAAATGAACCAAAGATAAGTCTAGCTCTTTCCATATTTGTAATAGTATGTCTTTGATCAGTGTCTTAGTCAGGGTTTCTATTGCTGTGAAGAGACACATGATCACAGCAACTCTTATAAAGAAAAATATTTAATTGGGGTGGCTTACAGTTTCAGAGATTTAGTCCATTATCATCATGGTGTGACATGGTGGCATGCAGGCAGACATGGTGCTGGAAAAGGAGCTTGGAATCCTACAGCTTGACCCAAAGGCAACAGTAAGTGGTTTGAGACACTGGATGTGACTTGAGCATATATGAGACTTCAAAGTCTACCTCCAGTGACACACTTCCTCCAACAAGGCCATATCTACTCCAACAAGCCACATCTCCTAAAAGTGACACTCCCTGTGAGTTATGAGGGCCATTACATTTAAACTACCACAGTCAGTTTTGGTGAATATTCTTACTCATTTCCTAAACCTCTAGACTCAAACACAAAGCAGCATTCCATACTCAAATTTCTTAATGTATCTCCACGTAAACCTAACTTGACCAGCCACACCTTCCCTAAGGGAAAAAATATCAGCCATTACAAAGTTCCACAAAACTTCCATCTACTCAGCTTTCAAACTTCTTCCTATTCCCTAAAACTAACCTTATTCTGTAAAGAACTAAATCCTTCTAGAACAGTGAAGCACTCTTACTGATAGCTCCTCTCTCCTTCTTTCCTGAAAATCAAAAGCCATACTTCAATTCTAAAGTAAGTATACAATGTGTGTAAATAATGTCTACCAAGTGAGAGCCATCAAGCAAGAAGCACTTATAAAAGGTCGACTTGAAGTCATGTTGGAAAAGATGTGCTGGCTAGTTTTATGTAAACACGACACAAGCTAGAGATATCTTAGAGGAAGGAACCTCCATAAGATCAGGTTGCAGGCAAACCTACAGGACAATTTTTTAATTGATATACATGGGTCAAAGTCCAGCCCATTGTGGGTGATACAGTCCCTGGGCTGGTGGTCCTGGGTTCTATAAGAAAGCAGGCTGAACATTCCCCATGGGGGGATACTCCCTTAACCTAGAGATAGGAGGAAGGGCCTAAGCTTTACTCCAAATGACTTGACAGATTTTGATGATCCCTCCTGGAAGACCTCACCCTCCCTGTGGAGTGGGTGGGGAATGGGATGGGAGGGGTGATGGGGGGCATGGGAGAATGGGAGGGAGAGGGAACTGGGGTTGATATGTAAAATAATAAATAAAAAAAAAAAAGAAAGAAAGCAGGCTGAGCAAGCCATGGGGAAGCAAGCCAGTAAGCAGCATCCCTCCATGGCTTCTGCATCAGCTTCTGCCTCCACGTTCCTGCCCTGCTTCAGTTCCTATCATGACTTTCTTTGATGATAAATTGTAATGTGGAAATATAAGCCTAATAAACCCTTTCATCCTCAAGTTGCTTTGGTCATGGTTTTCATCACAGTAACACTAAAAGGCAAAAATGGTCATCAGAAAAACACAATTTTCCTTATTTTTCTCTTAAAGTCTCCCCTTGCTTCATTGTCTTTGAATGTGCTTATATTTTACTACAGTATACACATCTCAAATGAGTATCATCAGTCTTTAGAAATATCTCTTTAGCTGTTGTTTAGGTCAACAGTGTCTTGTCCAAAACTCTTTGAGCACAAAGTTAAAGAGGTGAAACTGATATTAAATTTGTGATCAGGGTATTTCTCCATGTTTCTTCATACCTAGTATACTCATAAGTTCATCACATATTTACCAGTTATGGCAGTTGCTCTGGGGAGCATGAATTGGAGACATCATTCCTAATCTTATAATGTTTATACTAAGGAATCAAAAGTATAGACATGGCCCCAGCACTCGGGAGGCAGAGGCAGGCAGATCTCTGTGAGTTTGAGGTCAGCCTTATTTACAGAGTGAGTTCCAGGACAGACAAGACTACACAGAGAAACCCTGTCTCAAAAACCAGAAGAGGAGAAAAAGAAAAGAATTAAACCTGGCCATATCATGGAATGTGTAAAAGAGCATGAAGCATGAACAGAAAGCAAGCAAGTCATGAGAGACACCTGAGTGCTATGTACACTGGGCAAATCCCTTAACCTCCTGCAAGGAGTCACTTTCACCATCCCTAAAAGAGACAAATAGTACCTCTTCAAAGGAGTGATGAGAGAATTAAATGAAGCTTTATGTGCTGGCTTACATTTGTAATCGCAGCAATGAGGAAGATAATCACTGCAGGTTTGAGGCCAGCCTCACCTACATAAGTTCCAACTGAGCCCTGCACCCTCCTCACTCCCAGAACAACAAATTAAATCTTAAATGAAAGCCAGGTGTGGTGGTACCTGATGGCAGAGGCAGAATAAGGAGGTTCAAGACCACCTTCACTTACAGTGAATTCAGGGCCAGCCTGTTACATGACTGAGAATGTCCACTTCTCTGTTTTAAGCCACCCTATGGAAATAACAAACTGAAACTTACCAACCACTACCTCAGCAAACTTGGAAGAAGACCCTATGGGAATCCTTGAGCTAGACCCACAGGGCTAAGCTACACTCAGATTTCTAGCCTTTGGTAGCAATACTGATTGAAAATGCTTTAGTTTTGAGAAAACTTTGACACAGCAACAACACGACAACTGAAAAGAAAAAATATTAAAACAGAATGAAGAGGGCAGAAAATAAAAAGTCAAAAACACTAGATTACTAAATTAGGAAAACTTGTTAGGTCCTGGAAAGCAAAAATAATGACGCTGTGACATGTCTATACAGTAGTGGCATTCAAACCAATGTGTTAAGACTGCCCAAGACATGGCCTAGACAGATGGCTCAGCAGTTAAGAGTACTGACTGCTCTTCCAGAGCACCCAGATTCAATGCCAGCACTCACATGGCAGTTCGAAACTGTTTTAAATTTTGAGTATTATGAAACAAAAACATCTGTAAGTGAGAAACTTTGAAAAGGCAAACTGTGCTCCAAGAGGAACACAATGAGGTGCAGTGAAGATAAGGTACATTCACTTAAATGTCATTCACGTACGGTTCCTGCACGCCAAGCCTACAGTGCACACATACGAGAAGCTACTCCTCTCAGAAAGTTTGGGCGGGAAAGCAAAGTGTAGTTACGATACCTGCTGTCTTGGTGTGTTAAGCAACAGAATAAAACAGAGACAAATAAATTGCCAGACTCCAGCGTTCGGGCCACCGCTACCCACGCGCTCGGTTCCCAGGACCTTTCGCGCAGCCCTGGGCAGGAAGGCAGGGAGGGAGGACAGCCTGCCCCAGGCAGGCGCCACAGCCCACGAGTGCCGGGCAGACTGGGCCAGGGCTAGCCACGAGAAGCTCACTGAACCGCGCCCCGGCCTCGGCTTCCATAGCGACAGCATAACATACCTTGGACCCGCCAGCGCTACCACTTCCAGACATCTCCCACACTCGCGGCTGCCCCCTTGTACTCGCCGCCCCTTCCGGATTCCATTAGCTCCGGAAGCCGCCCCCTCGCGCGCTCCGCCCCCTCCGGGAGCTGCCCCTCAGTGCCCCGCCCCTCCGGGAACCTTGGCTAGGGTTCCACAGGCTTAGGATGGGTTTTCTTCAAGTTTAGATGCCCCAGGGCCCAGCTCTCCAGCAGGATCAACAGAGGGCGCTGCTCTCTGGCAGGATCAAGTTGTCATATTTGTTTTCTTTCTTTTTTTTTCCTCCCTCCCTCCCTCCCTCTCTCTTTCTTGGTTTTTTTTTTTTTTTTTTTTTTTTTTTTGGTTTTTGAGACAGGGTTTCTCTGTATTGCTTTTGGAGCCTTCCTGGAACTGGCTCTGTAGACCAGGCTGGCTTCAAAATCACAGAGATCCGCCTGCCTCTGCCTCCTGAGTGCTGGGATTGAAGGTGTGAACCACCAATGCCCAGCTAAGATGTCATATTTCAAACTGTGTTGTGTGGAGCAACAATGAACCATAAAATAAAAACCCCAAGTAGACTAGAATTCAACAATAATTAGCAAATTAGTAATAAAATGTTAGTAAGCCCAAGAAAGAACTTCCCTAACTAATGAGAAAAAATTCACAAGTATCAAGGGACAAAGATTATCGATATTTAAAAAGATTTCAGGAACTTTAGTTGGATTTGTTATAGTTTATTTCACATAGTATGGATCTGAGGTGACGTCAGAGAAATTAATTCTTGTTTCTAGACGCTGGTTCAGAGATCATCTAATTTGGAAGAAGCACTTATTCCTTGGATGTTTTGATCATACTTGTTAATGGGTGCTTTGAGACTATTTCAAACCAACAGGAAGGACAGCTGGTACTTAAGTGGAAACTGGATTAACAGCAGAGCCTGTAAAGATTTCTATTATCGAAAAAAATACTAAATCATTCATTGTTGAGACTGTGTTGGCATGGGACTTGAGAGAAACTGGCTTACAGAGGAAGACTCTAAAGATATATATGAAAGAAAAATACTAAATAATTTGCACTGTTGAAAAAGTGTTGGCATGGACAAAGGAAAGGATTCTCAGAAAGCTGTATTCACAAATGTATACAGAATGGAGCTTAGAACCATAGGTCCAAAGACAAACAGAGTGGGAAACCCTCACTAGCAAATTAAAGAGACTGCTAAAAGTGAAGCAGTTTTTAATATACCACTATGCAAAAAGGTACTCCAGCATAAGAAAAAAGAAAAAGGGCAAAAGGACAGAATGCTGATATACTGACTTGGCCTAAGACTGGATTTTCTGTCTGCTTTGGTTTTGTTTAGTTTTTTTTGTTTTGTTTTGTTTTTTGTTTTTTTGTTTTTTTTTTTTTTTTTTTGAGACAGGGTCTCTCTACATAGGTCTGGTTGTCTTAGAACTATGTAGACCAGGCAGGCTTCCAACTCATAGAGTGCTCACAGAATGCTGCTGCCTCCCAAGTGCTCAGATATTTGCTGTTTACTACCATACCTGGCAAAGCAATTTTTTTTTTTAATCCCTAGTTGCAAGAAATTTCTTCCCTCCTTTTCCCACAGTCTGATTCTTTAGAGAATTTCAGTCTTCACATTCTTCTAGCATGGCACCTTTCCCAGGATCCCCATCCTACTGGTTCAGGGTGCAATGCCTTATCTAATGACTACTCCCCAGCTTGAAAGTACCTTCATTTCTGATGTGGGCCCAGTCACATAGCCTGGAGAGCTAAGACAAGCAGACACCACCTGCCATCTGGGGCAGAAGGGGGTCTAGCATGTCCTGCTTATCTTGCAACCCTTTGATAAGCTCTAAGTGCACCTCATATTGAAAGTTTACTACAAGGATTTATTTCTAGCATTGAATTCAAGGTTAGCAATAGTGAGTTCAAGGCTATCCTGGGCTACATGAAGATAAAAACTAAGTTTAGTTTCTTCTTCAAATGTACTTTTTTGTCTTTCTAGAAATGTGTAGTTTTGCTGTTGCATTTGTACTCCATCTGTAGCCCTGCTCCAATGTTAAGCTGTCATTTCCTCTTATAAAATTTTTATTTGATGAGTATTTCTGCTCAAGCTTTTGTAGCTACAGATTTGAATCTGAAGGGAACCTGCAGGAGTTGAAATGTGTCAATTCTGTGTCTCATTGCAAAGAGCTGGACCACAGATATGTAGTTAGAAATACAAATATACAAAAATTATAATAGTCTACACTAAAACTGGAAGTACTCCCAAGAATGAGAGTGAGTGAGTTAAAAGAACAAAATGCACTTCAAAAGCATTGTGCCTGGCACCTCATGACTCTTTATTGGACACCCACATAGTCCCCTCCCACTCCAATATTCATACAGTTTGGTTTTTCTTGAGGATACTCACTTTGTTGTGTGAGACCAGGAGAGGGGTGAGTTCTTGCCTCTCTCTTCCTATTGATTTCTTCTATATGTTAATAATTATACAGCTTTCTCAACTATAATCTCCTGCCATAATTTCCTCCTGAAAGTTATGACCCCAAAAATCTTTCTGGGAAGCACAATTATGATAAGCCAGTCTTATATAACCAAACGCACACTGATGAGAGACACAGTCTCTGCCTAAGGAAGACCACTAAACTCCCTACCTTATCTGTTGGTTGTAAAAGAGAATTTGTATTTTCTGTAGAAGGAAATAGTTGGAATCAGAGAGAGTTTAGTTTGAAATAGTTGCATATCCTAGGAGACACAAATTTTACAAGATAAAATACAGGGTTTAAGCAAGAATAACATCATTATGTAGACTGATAATCCAATAAAAGCAGAGATCAAGTCGGGCATTGGTGGTGCATGCCTGTAATCTCAGCACTCAGGAGGCAGAGGCAGGAGGATCTCTGTGAGTTCAAGGCCAGCCTGATCTACACAGCAAGTTCCAGGACAGGCTCCAAAGCAATACAGAGAAACCTAGTCTCAAAAAACAAATGAAAGAGAGAGAGAGACAGAGAGACAGAGAAATCAAAAAAAACTGTGGCTATGTTCATTTCAGAATAGTCATTCTTTATACCTTGTTCTCTGGCTGTAGTTATTTTAAAAATATGGCATGTAGGATTGGAGAGATGACTTGGAAGCTAAATGTACTTGTTGTTCTTGCAGAGGACCCAGGTTTGGTTGCCAGTACCCACATCAAGCATAATAACCATCTTCATTTCCATAGGATCCAATGGACTCCGTGGGCACTGCATACATGTGGTACACAGACACATAAGCAGAAATAAAACTTTAAGGAAAAACCAATAAAGGGATCAACACAGCTTGCCTGGAATCCCCTGGTTCTATTGAATCTGGAATTTGACTTCAATTCCTCTGCACTGTTCATAGGTGGGCCAAGGTAGAGCTTAAATTTGTATCACATCTGGAACTGTTGAGATAGCCCATACAAAAGATTTAATGGGGATATAAGACCTGAATTATTTTTGTCTCTTTTTACAGTCTAGATTTTTGTTTCTGTGCTTTGTCTTACTATTATAAACTTTTTTAAACTCTACTTTCTGCTAGGTGTTGAAGATCATGTTGGTAACCAAAACTAACCATTTCTCTTTTTAAAGACAGTTAAGGTTCTTTGGGGGTTACTAGGAGGAGTTAGAAGAAACCCCCTGATTCCTTTAGTCTCCTTACTAGTTATGCCATCACTAGGGTCAAAGTCTTGATGGCCATACACCTCTCTTGGAAATACTGCAGGATTTTCTTCTGTGTTGACCTTCCTATTTCCATAATACATGCTGGCTAGAGTCCAACACCTAGGGTATCCATGGCCTCTATGATCAAGAAGATAAGTAAATCATCAAAGTTGCAGAATGCTTTGAGAGATGCCCCATCATTCCCTGGGACTAAAGCTAGAAACGAAGGTCAAAATATCAGCTGTCCTTTTAGCTTTTTTATCCTCATTGGTTTAGACTCTGATTGTGGTTGTTGAACACCAAGAAGGTCAGTTTTAACAGTACTAAAGTGTAAATTGTGCTTTAAAATCTAGCTGTTATATAAAGCTTAGAAATATTGACATAGATAATTGTTAAACCTTTAGTAAGTCTATTAAGACTTTTTTTAAAATTGTAAGTCTGGCACTCAGAGAAACAGTAAGCAACTGTCAGAATAAAAAAACACAAAAATTGTAGTAAGATATTTCCTTTGTCTCCTTCTATGGCACTGACCACGCCCATTGGGGGGTGGCAGAAGTGACCTGTGGAAGGAGGTCTGAGGAAGAGCCAGGGAACGCTCTCTTGTTGGTGGGACTCGGAGAGGAGAGCATCCGGTGGAACTTGCTGGTGTTCAACTGTCTAGGTTGTAAGTTATTTCTCCCTGAATAAACATCTATTCGGCCTATTTGTTTATCCTGATCCTTATTTAACCACAATAAAAAAAATCTTTATTTATAAAAGCACATTGTGATAATTTGAATGAGATGCTACCCAAAGTCTCAGGCATTTGAACACTTGGGCCCAGTTTGTGATGCTACCTGGGAGTTTTAGGAGGAGGTCTTGTTGGTAGAGTCATGTCCTCCTGGAAGCAGACCCAAGCCACTCTCTGTGCTCTGTTTATGGTTCAAAATGTGAGTTCTTGAACTCTCCTCAGAGAAGCTTGTTTGTGAAAGTAGATGGTAATTAACACAGGCCCTCACTGGATAATATGCAGTGAGAGTCTTTGAAGCACTCAACCCTAATCAGAATGCTTTTACCAAACCTCCCCACCAGGCTCCTGGATGTAAGTGGAAGAAGAAGCAGAAGCAATATAACAGCCAGAGGTAGTGGATGATTCCAGGGAAACAGGACTGACCACATATGAACACAGAATCATTAACATTATGTACAATACCCCCACAAGTGCAAGCCAGACAAAATCCCAGCAGAGAGAAGGAAATGTGGGAACAAAATTACACCCCTAAAGACGTTCTTGTGATTCGTACCTCCAGGGAGAGAGAAAATCAGTTTTCTCCAATGGAATGATACAGAGTAGATCAACCATTCTCCAGGGAAGGCCCAAT